GGCTGGTTTCGAACTCCTGAGCTCAAACAATCCGCCCGCCTCGGCCTCCCAGAGAGCTAGGATTACAGGCGTGAGCCACCGCGCCCGGCCTCCCAAACTATTAATATATATTTATAAGCCACTTCACCACAATGCTTAAACCATTGAATTTCTAGACCATCAAACTTACCTTTATTGAAATATGAGTTAAACACCAGACAGTGGTTATGAACGTCTCTGAATTAGAAACGGCAATGTTTCTTTCCTTTATATTAACTCAATTTTAGAGTTAATGCTAATCACTTTATTAGACAATATGGCAAAAAAATAAAAATGTTAGATGTCTTCAGAGAAGAAGAGGAAGCAGGCAAAATCTATTTGCTTAAGAGAATAAAAAACCCAGCTTTACGTATGTTTCATGTTTGTGCAACACAATACAGGTCAGACTGTCAATAAAGCAGAGGGATAAAATTACAACCAAGTAATTATACAGCTATAAATAGTACCTGAAGCCACAAATAAAAGGATACACTGTACATAAGTAAAAAGTGGCCAAGATTATTAGATTAGTATTGGTCTTTTCCAGTCACATGGAAACATAAATAATTGCACATTAACAAATATTTATTAAGTATCTACCACATTCAGCGAACCAGGATAATGTCTAGCAATGTACACATGATACATGAACAAATATATTTTATATGGGGTTTGTAGACTGTTTAGTCTTTAAAAAAGAAAACAACAAAACTTAGGCTGAACTGTTCTTCCAAAGTTCCAATAAAATTTTCCTATCTGTACAGTGAATGGCCAAAAAGAGAATGAGAAAGGATTCTCTAGAAATAAGGAAACCACTGCTGAGAATGTGGTAATGCTATTAAAGAGACATTATTACTATGATTACTTATAGTCCTACCTGTGCCTATGCTTTTCATTCCCATCCTGAATCGTATCTGCTTGCCATGAAGGACCTCAGAAAGGTGTTTAGCATTCCAGTGTCGTGACGGCCAATCAAAAACCATGTTACAGAAGATTGCAGGTTGCTGTAAAGACATTATAATTTCTTTTGCTTTCTCTGGCATAAAAGGTTTGACACGTTCGCCTAGAAAGAAAAATGAATAGAGCAATAGATAGAAAACTATAAAGTTGTTGCATACAATATGAAGAAAAAAATAGCTAATATTGTTTCTGTTATGGCAAATCTGCACAATTACACTGCATTTACACTTCATTTATTACTGTTTATATAAATAACTGGCCTCAAAAGACCATAATTCTTAAATGATCTTTCTCATGTTAAATTTCAAATGTTGGTAAATGGTGATGATTTTCAATGTCAAAAATGAAGTTTTAATGTTAAAAAAGGCTTTCCTAAAGGGAGGGAA